CCAGCTGTAGACAGACTCTGCTGTACAGTGTCTCCAGGTCAGACACACCTCCCCAGCTGTAGACAGACTGCTGTACAGTGTCACCGGGTCAGACACACCTCTCCAGCTGTAGACAGACTCTGCTGTACAGTGTCTCCAGGTCAGACACACCTCCCCAGCTGTAGACAGACTCTGCTGTACAGTGTCTCCGGGTCAGACACACCACCCCAGCTGTAGACAGACTCTGCTGTACAGTGTCTCCAGGTCAGACACACCTCTCCAGCTGTAGACAGACTCTGTTGTACAGTGTCTCCAGGTCAGACACACCTCCCCAGCTGTAGAAAGACTCTGCTGTACAGTGTCACCGGGTCAGACACACCACCCCAGCTGTGGACAGACTCTGCTGTACAGTGTCTCCAGGTCAGACACACCTCCCCAGCTGTAGAAAGACTCTGCTGTACAGTGTCACCGGGTCAGACACACCTCACCAGCTGTAGACACACTCTGCTGTACAGTGTCTCCAGGTCAGACACACCTCCCCAGCTGTAGACACAAACTACACTATAAACTACTTTCTCCTGTTTGATTGCTCATTGAATTTCATTATTCTTGTGCTGTATGCTCACTGTCTCAATGAATCTTGACATTGAGTCCGTGCCTTTTCATGGAGGGTAGTGTATAAAATAAAGACTGCATTGCTGACACCCGAAGTTCAAGGGCACCTGAATACATTGTTATCCAACTCTCTTACATCATACTGCCACCCTTGCAATGTCATTTTTAAAAGATTGTTCCAGTCTCGTGTGGTTTAGCATTTTTACATACTAAAACTGTATTTAATAGGTCACAAATTATTATTTATCCATCTGTAATCTGAGATTTTTCAAACTGCTTTGAGTTATAAGGTGTCTGTCTGACCCCACAGGCCCATGACGGCCCCACAGATGAGTCGCTGTGACCAGGGTCACAAGGGGGCAACCACTGCCAACCACACCATGCCCGGAGGAGGAAACACCAGGTGTGTGAGGAAGGACTGAAGAGCCCGTCTCTGGGGATCTGGATTAAAAGGGAAATAACGAGTTCACCAATGTCCTAAACACTCTGCAGCCCCCTGGCATTACAATAAAATACTTAAATAAGTAATGTACCTTAATCTGGTGAGATAAATAAAACAATAAAGCTTTGTATGCTTTATTAATTCTATTTAATTCTATTACCTCTATGTAGTCAATTAGACTCTCTTTATTTTTAATTTAAATTACTCTACCTGTTGTCTGTTCAATCAGGGGAAATTGCTTTTAAGAGGTCATATATTATTTTACATTGTACATATATTCATATTACATAGATTATTGTAATGGATGGCTTTTTGAAAGTATTCTCCTCTGGCCTATCATTTTTAAAAAGTAGGCCCTTTAATTTGCAAGAGTAACAGATTACATTTAAAACAGGATTTTTACCCAGAACTGTCAACTACTATCGGGACTGGTCACAGGAAGGAAACAAATGAGGTTGTGAGTTTGTTCAGTGCCAGAGATCACAGAACATTGAGATTTCCGAGGAGGTTGTTCCCCACAAAATCACAGGACACAATGCAACCTAAGTAATCTGGGAAAATTTGGAGTCCCGTTTTGGAAGGGTGGCACTTTTGGGAGATTATAAATCCTGCAGTTGATGCAGAAACAGAGTAAGCATACAGTGGTCTGTCAGTAATGAACATTCGCAGCTAGTTAGCTATTGTTGTAGCTGTATATAAAACAAGTGGAAGATCGTTGCCATTGAGACCTGTGTCAAGAAAAAAACAGAGGGTGTCATCTCTCAGAACAAGAACCAGCTTTCAAAAATAAAAGGATGAGTTTTCACATGGGTGTAGATCTTGCAGCAGTCCTGGGAAGAAGCACAGCTCATGTTTCTAGATTTAATTGAAGCTTCAGTTTATTTACATCTGTATTATGGGATGGTATCTTATTAGGATATCTTATAGAAGTATATCTGTATTGTAAGTGTAATATGTACAAGGTCTGTTCACTGTAGTGTTTTGCAGTGCTGTGACTGACTCTGTGGCTGACTGTCTCTCAGGGATAACCTGCACTTGCTGGAGGAGGGGCAGGGCATGCCCCGCGAGGAGCTGGACGAGCGCCTTGCGCGGGAAGAGTTCCGTCGCCCGCGGGAGTCCCTGCTCAACATCTGCACCGAGTTCTACAAGCACTGCGGCCCGCGGCTCAAGATCCTCCAGAACGTGGCGGGAGAGCTGCGGGTCACCGCGCTGGAGCTGCTCGACATCAAGTCGCACATGAGGTCCGGCGCGCGCTCCGTGTCCGTCCAGCTCTGTCCGGCTCCCCTGGGGCGTACGCGACTCCTGCGTCCCCCACACAGCGCTGAGCACAGCCCCTGTCTTCATTCTCTGTCTTCATTCATTCTGCCATCGTATCTTCACCCACAGGTCCATAGTCCCATCTAGATCAATACCTGAGGGCCAGTCCATACTTCAGCCATGTATGTGTTCATGCTGGAGAGTCTGGAATTCAGTGCATCAGCATCTTTCAGCCACAATAAAGGACTCACAGAGAGGGGAAGATCGTATGGTGATCCTGGGATAGGAGAGGACTGGTATAGCCAAGCTGATAGGGATAAAGCAAGAGAAAATAGGCTGAAGGATGAAAAGATGTTAAGAGCATATTATCAACCAGGACAAAAGGGCTGAAAATGGATAGGTGGATTATGAAATATACTGTATATTTAGCACCTGTATTGCTATAGTGCCCTGACATGCCCAGAGTGTGTGTGCGATGTTATAGGCTGGCAGAGATCGCCCATTCCCTGCTGAAGCTGGCACCCTATGACACGCTGACCATGGAGAGCCGCGGTCTTAGACGGTACATCATGGAGATGCTGCCCATTACCGACTGGACCACTGAGGCCGTGCGGCCTGCCCTGATCCTCATCCTGAAGAGGCTGGACCGCATGTTCAACAAGATCCACAAGATGCCCACGCTGAGGTATCTCCTCTCGGAGCCGAGGACTGATCTAGTTAACTGTCCCCAGCTCCAGGGTCAACTCCCAGCTCATTTTCCTGCAGACCTGGGGTAAATGTTTAAGGAAAAAAGATGTCTCTTATTCATACCTATTCCCTTATACATTTCCATGTTCTTTTTATAATTTGTTGTGGGAAACGGGGAACAGTGCTGTAAAATTCTTTGAGAACCCTGTGTTTATTGAAAAGATGGCATCTGAGAGGAGCCAAGCCTATACTTTGACGTCTCTCAGCCCTCTCATGATTATCCCCTTTCCAGACGGCAGGTGGAGTGGGAAGCTGCCAGCAGCCTGATCGAAGGCATCTGCCTGACCCTCCAGCGACAGCCAATCATCTCCTTCCTGCCTCATCTCCGCTCGCTCATCAACGTCTGCGTCAATCTGGTAAGGGAGACAGGAGCACTGGAGGCCTTTCCACATCCTCCGATCTACATACTGTATAGGCTGATGGGGAAAACTGGTGTACTTTGGTATCACCAGCAGCTTCTGGGCAAAACCCAGAGTTACAATGTGGCAGGCTAGTCTATTCAGGGATCGCAGTAGCAGGTGATCTGCCACTAGAGGACGCCAAATCCTCTTAATGCTTTTATTAGCATTCTCTTGTATCCAATGACAAGACTGTAAGGTAGCCTTCAGCATAGCACTAACCTTTACCTTAAAAAGAGGTATCTTTGTGATTTTCTTAGAATGTTGCAAAATTAGATTCACTACATCCCCCAGTGTTTAACCTTGACATATATAAAGTCAATTCACCACTTTTGGTTGATTTGCGAAGGAACACTTTGAGAAAGAAAGACATCATACTTTGTAAAAGCCAAACCAAGCTGCCCAAAGCCCCTTTAGGTAATCAAATGTTACAGAAAATGTCACGGTAAAAATAGTGACTGTTTAATTGCCATTAAAGTGATGCCATTCAGTCCAAACCATTTTCTAAATGTAAATGCGGGAAATAAACTATAGAAGGTCACCCTTAATCCAAGGTATTTTAAGGAAAACAGGGGGCAGCAGGTCTTGTGGTAAATCAATGCTATCAAAAGAACATCATATACAGGGAAAAAACTCATGCTTCTCTTTTACTTGTATGTATTCAAAAACAATTTGAAATAATTCATTATTAAAGGTAAGATTTATAATCACAGAGAAACTTTGTAATTACATATGAAAAAGTATACCTATGTGATAGACACAGAACTATTTAGCATCTAGTCAGGACAAATACCCAAATGTTGAATATGCGATGGGCTAATTTTTAAAATACACATCAATTTGCATGTGAAAGCAGGAGATGTGTAATTGCTTTTATACCTATTATAATTGTAAGATACTAGATTCAGACTTAATGCTGAATTTTCAGTGTTTCCAGATGCTATGGGGCTGAGCTCTTTCAATGCTCTCTCAGGTGGTTTGTTGGTGTTATTTGCAGGTGATGGGAGTGGTTGGACCCTCCAGTGTAGCTGATGGCTTACCTCTGCTCCACCTGAGCCCTTATCTGTCCCCCCCACTCCCCTTCAGCACTGCTGTGGTCAGACTCGTGGCTCTGCAGATACAGGTAATTACCATTCACCCAGTCGTCAGTCCTGAAGCGATCAGTCTTCAATAACATAGGCAATTTGTCATACACTGGATGAAAATAAGCAGAATTAAATAGGAAAGAAACTTAATTAGTCATTTATTTCTCAAGATGCTGGGATACCTACTGTATATCTTCGCAACCCAGCTTACACATTGATTTGCTGTTTACTACTTCTGAGAAAAGCATTCCTGTTTGCAAGTTTAAGAAGCAGTGTCTTCTGGTTATACTCCTACTTCGCTTTTCCTACAGTGTAATACACATTCTCCATTGAAGATAACACATTTTTCTTCCTTATGCGAGGCTCCTCTAACAGATCGACCTGTTTGAATTCATTGACAGGCTTTGAAAGATGACTTCCCTCTTAGTCATGTGATCTCCCCATTCACCAATCAGGAGAGGCGAGAGGGGATGCTTCTGAACTTATTGATTCCATTCGTTCTGACGGTGGGGTCAGGGAGTAAAGGTCAGTCTGACAGCCGGGCCTTCTACATGGGTCTGTTACTATTGTGAATGCGGCTGTAATGAAGATTTATATACCTGTGGTATACACATCACTCACAAGACCAGTTCAGTGTATATCAGTGGTGTCTATTTGATGGAACAGATGTATTTGTAGCCGTCTCTGAGTCTATATCTTTTCGTTTATGCATGTCTGTCTGCATGCAATGTTCGTGTGTCTTCATCATGACATGTGAGTTGTATGCGTTTGCCTGTACAAAACAGTATTTTGGTTTGCACGTGACAGCTCCCTGCCCACTCTGCATGTGTATGTCCTACAGACAGCCCACACCTGGAGCAGCCAGAAGTGTTCCTGTTGCTGCAGACTGTCATCAACATCCTGCTGCCCCCTCGCATCATCAGCACCTCCCGGAGCAAGAACTTCATGCTGGAGAGCTCCCCAGCACACTGCTCCACTCCTGGAGACACTGGCAAGGACCTGCGAAGAGAAGGGCTGGCTGAGTCTACTAGCCAGGCAGCCTATCTGGGTACGAGCAGAGGACCCCTAAGCCTCGTGGGGAGAGACTGGAGGAGCTGAGGAAATGAGAAGTGTTAATGTGGAGTGTTGTTACCTGTGTGAACGTCAGTCTCTCTGTGTCTCAGCTCTGAAGGTGGTGCTGGTGTGTTTCGAGCGCCAGCTAGGCAATCAGTGGTACCGGCTCAGCCTGCAGGTGAAGGAAATGGCGCTGCGCAAGGTGGGAGGCCTGGCTCTCTGGGATTTCATCGATTTCATCGTCCGGACCAGGATCCCCATCTTTGTCCTGCTGCGCCCCTTTATTCAGTGCAAGGTGAGCGCCTCCCTCAGCCTCTTATGGGAGCTGGATGGTGGAGCACCGGGGTGTAACGTGTGTTGCTTTCCAGTAACAAAAGAGCTTGAAGAGGAATGTCTTCCCTTTAAAAGCTGAAAAAGAACATATGATTTCTTTAATGAACAACCACATACACAGCTTTTAAGGCTCTGTGACGCCCCCTTTCTTAACCCCGCACGGCTTCTCTGTTGAATTTTGCTCTTGACGTGAACCTGAACGTACACGTACACGGAGGTGCCCTGGCCGTGAGACCTTGTGAGCCCTCTCCCAGCTGCTGTGTTTCTCTCCCCATGCCTCTGCCCTTTCTCTCGAGTCCCCCGCCTGAGCCTCGCCGGTGTTTCTCCGCCCCCCCAGTTACTGACCCAGCCGGCGGAGAGCCAGGAGGAAATCACGGCCCGGCACCACATTGCCGACCAGCTGGAGCGCCGCTTCATCCCGCGGCCTCTGTGCAAGAGCTCCCTGATAGCCGAGTTCAACAACGAGCTGAAGATCCTGAAGGAGGCCGTTCACAGCGGCTCGGGTGAGACAGCCCTGCTAGGGGAAGGGTGAAGGCAGATTCTGTTTAGAAGGATTGATGTATTTTTTTGTTTGTTTGTTGTAAGAGTCTGATCAAATCATCATTATGAAAGCATCGTGACAGACTTCATAGCGTTATCGAAGCCTGACAGCTTCTCATTTGAGATTAACCTTATATTAGAATGCCAGCTTGGGATCTATTCATTTATACTTTTGTTTCTTCAAAGTTTATTATTTTTCATTACTCATAAATCAATGTAGTATACAGAAATCCTCACATCCAACATCCACCCCTAAGATAACCATTCTCCTATTCCTAAACTTAAATTTGTATGTAATCTCAACCCCACCTCCAACCTGCAGAACACATGTTAATGTTAATACTTAATGAGCTACCATACTCAGAGCAGCTCTTTTCACAGTGAGCATGCAGATATACTCAAGGTTAGAAAGGAAATTGGAAGAGAGATCCCATATACAGCCTCTTGTAGTAAGTGTTTAATAACGTTTCTTTCAACACTATGACACTGTGTGATCTCTGCCACCTATCTAACACAACAAACCCTTCACCTCAGTATAAAGCTATGGGGTAAACCTAGATGTTCTCTTACCAGAAAGCTTGCCTTTTCCCTAAACCTGACTCATGTTTTTAGAGCACAAATCATTAACGCTCCCGCTTTCTGTTTCTCCTCAGCCTACCAGGGCAAGACCTCCATAAGCACAGTGGGCACCTCCACTTCGGCCTACCGCCTCAGCCTGGCCACCATGTCCCGTTCCAACACGGGCACCGGCACCGTCTGGGAGCAGGACAGCCAGCCCTCGCACCAGGCCTCTCAGGACACGCTCAGCCGCACCGACGAGGACGACGAAGAGAGTTAGACTCCTCTGTTTCTCCTTTCCTCCGCGCAGCAAATTCCTCCGCTTTATTTCCCCACTGTTGGTGACTCTAGGGCCTAATTCTGACAGAATGGCCTTGTCTTCCTGCCTGCCTAAAGCTGATTCCAGCCCTTGCTTCAGTGTTGCTGATTAGAGTCTCTATAATTTATCAGCTATGAGTTAACTTATTAGCTAATTGACGACTATTTGGAAGTGTTTTTAAAGTTACTTGTACAAGAAAAGATGTTCCTGGCATTTTTTTAATGTTTTCCTTTCTCCCTTATTCCATACTTGCAAACATATCTGGACCTTTTCAATGTATATCATTTTTTTCACAGTTCTCCTTCCATTTTTCCTGTAATCTCTGGGCTGCCCTCCCTGTACTAACATGTAAACAAATGAAATATTCACCATATTGGACCAAATATTGGGCTGATTGCCTGCCCTCTAAGGGAAGAACAGCAAATCAGGCACTGGTGTGGAAAATCAGAAGGCCAACAGATTTGTGTTTCTAGGAAGCTCATTTTTGTCATAGTGAATGTGATGTGTTCTCTACAGCATACTTCAAGTTAGTAGTATACAATATACTGTCACTCATGAAACACAAATTTAATCTATATGTATTAGGTATTCATCTGTTGTATGAAATGGTATGTAGTTAAATAAGAAACACGGGTTAATTCTACACAGAGAAAGAAGAAATAAATTTGGTCTGTTGAGCCTACTTCATGTAAAGAATAGTATTTTCAAGTTTTCATTTTCGTTTATCCCCTGTAGTCCATATACCTAGACACTTACATTTTATTGCTTATTTATGATGACTGAATCATACTAATGGTTTATATACAGTAAGGCACTTTATGAAAAGCTAGTTTATCTATATAGGATTCTGGGTAAACATGAAAAAACAACATGAGGGTTCCATTATCTCCTTGTTAGTGTCCTTCTATAATGCTAGAATACAGGCTAATTCTAGGCTTTAAAATTCCAATATGCTGCATTTGTCTGACAGGGGATTCCTATAACTTCTCTTCTCTCCATCTTTCTCTTCATTTGTTGTCTATTTCTTATTGTCACACATTTTTTCCATACTGTATCTCTGATTCATCCTATGTTCCTCTTTCTGTCTTTGCCTCTCTTTCTCTGACCTTATGCTATTGTGACACCCCCTGTATGTCTCTCTCCGTCTCTGTCTCTGTGGTTCTGTGCTGTTTCTTCAGATGACTCTGTGAGTGTTCCTAGTGTGGCCAGTGAGCATGATGCCTACCTGGCTAATGTGATTGGCCATCGTCGCTTCTCCAGCCATGTGACCAGTGTCTCCACTCCACCCACTGAGCCAGGCTTAAGCACTATGCTGCCCAGTCAGAGGTACGTATCTTCTTCCACTTCAATAAAGCAGCTTTTTTAGCATCCTCCCCCTTATAATATGTTTGTTTTATAAGACAGTTGTCTCCTATTTTACTTTTCTTCATTTCTAGCCAAGCTCTCCACTGTCTATTATTGTTACTGGTTGTTTTAAAGAAATATTATGAACAGTACTGAGGACATCAAAGACCTAAATAACCGGAGATAAGTCTGTGTAAGTGCACAGGCAGTGTTTGAATTTGCATCAAGTAATAATTCAACACTGGAAATGTGCATATGAATTAATAATGTAAAAAGGAATTGTTAAATCCTCTGAAAAAGGATTTGCAGCCAAAAGGGCTTGTTAGGATCGTTAAACATGTGAAAGCCCAAGAATAAATAAAATCCAAACATCCTACGTTTGGATGTTAGTAGCCAATTGATCTGAGGATCTAATCCAGCCATTTCTGGAAAGAGTGGGTAGCTTGTTCCAGACTCCCACAGCCCTTTGTGTAAAAAAACATACATTATTGTATTGAGCACAGCAAGAAATCCTGTGTAGCAGGAAAACAAAGCTGACTCCCCTCCCCATAGTAATGGACTGCTGAATTTCACTTCACGTCACTCCTGTTGATATCATTTATCTAATGAAGAAAAGAGAAATGCTCGCCTGATAAGACTGCAGAGACAGTATGAATTTGTGTATGGCTTGTTTGGCTTTGACCCTCGGTGTAACCTTCAACAGTCTTTTAAATACTATATTTGAACAATTATAGGTTGCTATGTGCAACTGCCATCATGGAATGAGTATCTTATAATGCTGGCTATGCAGTATATGTACTTTGTGATCTCCTAATTTATACGATATGGTGCATATTATCTCAGCAGGGGTCACAGTTAGCAGGTGGTATGAAGAAGTCATCCCATGTGGAGGAGGTCTGTGTGTTTGGTGTCTTTGCAAACATCATGGTCACAATAGCCATTGAGTTTGCTCTAATCAAATCTATTCAGCTATTCAAATCTATCCATTATCTTTCTGCATTTTTTATTGGTCAGATCAGTCCACAGTGAAAATCTGACAAAACAATGAGGTGAGATTCTTTATCATTTTAAAATATTCTTAAGAGTAGAAGCAAGGTTCCAGAAAACATTGACAAGTGTGCAAAAGAAAATAGTGCTCTATAGTGAACAAATAAATCACTTTGCCCACAGTTGGGTTTCATTTAGAAAGAACTGCAAATAAATACTGGATATTTGAAAAGCTCTCTAAATAAAAAAAAACTGAATAGTAAGTAAATTGGAATTGGAAATTTTGTTTTAAAAGACCCTGCAGATCCAGACCTTATCCACACGGTGGCGCTATTTTGCTTAGGAGGACATGAGTGAACAGCTGAGAAAACTGCATGCTTCTCATTTTTCCCTAAATCCTCATCTCCCTGCCCCTCTACAGTGAACCCAATGTGCTAGATGAGTCCCAGGGGATGATGGCAGAGATTAACCTGTCTAGGTACAGTGTCACAGCCGAGCTACCTGTGTCTGTCAGTGTCTGTGCTGGGAACTACTCCCAGCACCTTCTCCTCCACTCACTCTGTCTCCGCCCATCACATCCAGTCAAAAGCCCCCCTGCAGTTTCCTGTTTGTTCTTTATAGATGCAGTGCATTTTTTATTTGGTTTGTAATTTATAGTTGTTCTTTTTGTTTCCTTTTCTAAACTCCAACAAAGAACTGACACCATCCCAACCATTTGCTGTGCCTTAATCGTGTGGGTTGAGATTAGCAGGGAGATCTTTTCCTGACGTGTTGCTGTGTGCAATGCTCCATTGCAGTCAGTCCATAGTGCCATAGTGTTCATACTGTACATGCGTGCCAGCTTTTGCCAATCAAGTCTACAGCCCTGTATTAGGGTCCTATTGTGGGAGACGCTGAATTGGTAAACAGTTAGCAAGATTTCTTGTGTTTTTAATACACATGAGAGGGGGGTTGTAGAACATAATCATGTGGAGCACACATTGCAGAGTCGCAGATCTTTTAATAGAAACAACATTAACAATAGCATTCGTATGTATTCAGTGGACTTAATTCCCAAACTGCTATTGAATATTGTAAAGTGTTTTTCTGAGAAGGGGTGTCAATGTAAGTGTTTGGGATAAAGAAGACCCTAAAAAGCAGTGTATCAATAAGGAATGTGATAAAAAGGAATTCAGTCACGGATTCTTTTTCCTTCATTTTACACGCCAGGGAAACCTCATTCTGATTGAGTATTGAACTGATTTAACATATTGTGACATGACAGCTTTCAAGAGTTAAAGTAATGCAAAAAAGCTGTTCACCTGAGATTGGTTGAGAAGCAAAAAAAGTTCTAATTCATGCATACTTAGATGTTTTACACTTACGTTCAGTTACTAATTTTGCTCTGATAACAAAAATCTTTAACCAACATGTAAGTGGTTACCAGTAACCACTTAAAAAGTTTCTTTATATCACGTGTGTAGTTTGATTTATTTATTTAATTTGGTTTTAGAGAGCTGTTATGTACTGGTGTTGCCTCTTCAGCGCTCCCACATTCACTAAATTGTTTGATGTTCAAATGATATGGCAGATTATATCAGACTGTGAATGTCTATAATCTGTGTTTTGCTGTGGTTTCTGTACTGTCTGTTGATTTTGATTTCTGTCCTGAAGAAGGTTGTATTTCTTGGAAAAGCAAAGGGATGCTTTTTGGCACAAAGAAGAAATGTTAGTAGTCTCCACTACTAGCAGACAAACATGGATCTCCTGGATTGAGATAATACTATCCATGTTGCAAGATTGTAACCTAACATGGGAATTCTTAGAACTGAATATTTTCAATGTCATATTGTGTAGATTTCCAAATTTATTCATATCAAATTATTTTAGATGTTTTTACATGCCAGAACTACATGTAGAGCACATCTTTTCTACATGCTTTTATTACGAGTGTCATTGGGCGTCATTTCTTATAGAAAGAATGTTGTTTTCTTCCATTGATCTTTTTTTACTTTTTCCTGTTTAGTAAACAAATTTAAACTCCAATTACAAATGATTTAGATTCAAATTATTTTTAATAAAAAAATTAAAGATTTCTTAACCTTTCTCAGTTGTGCCCACAACAGTACACATGTAGTGCTGCAGAGACTTTTGTGGTGGGAATGATACAAGATAAAATATGGGCAGTGTAAAAAGCAGGTAATACAGCCAATCAAAATTGTTTGTTATATTTCACAACAGCACCACTCCTGAGCTCTCTGACAGTATGGGACCATGAACAGGTGCCAGGGGATTTTACAGGGTGACTTTTTTGTTCCAATTTTTTTTTTCATAACTGTTTCTAAGCGATCAGTAAGAAACGTCTCTTTTTCATGCCCTTTGTTCACTAGATTTGAACCTCTTCAACCTCATAGGTTACCTTACGTAAAAGTGGGAACTCACGTGGCTCTGCACTAAAGTGCTTTGAAAGTCCCCTTGTTAATCAGGATGATGTTCAGATATCTTCTCAAGCTCCGAGCAGTGCTGCTGTGTATCCGTGTCGCTGACTGGAAATCTGTGTGTCTGTCTTTCTGTGTGGCTGGGTCTCCACAGGGTGGCGAGTGTTCAAAGTGAGCCAGGACAGCAGAATCTCCTCATACAGCCACCACTGGGGAGGAAGAGGGGTCTCAGACAGGTGAATACAGAAACTGCTCTGAAAATTACACTCTACCATCACCACAACACAAACTACAGCTGTAGCAAACCACAAAATGACTACAGTACAGCAGAGTTAAGAACCCTGACCAGGAGCTGAGACTGAATCACAGATTAATGGTAGAACATAGGAAGGCTTTGTGAAACCAAGCAAAATGTTTAGCAATGGTGAAATGAAAAAACGAGTAAAAACAACCTTACAAATAATAACATTAGAGAGAAGCGACGATTTCTGTGGACGACATGTTCTTAATTTTACTGTGGGTAAAGACAGATGTATGTGCCAGTAGTAGACTGAGCAGCACCACAACAGTGCAGAGTAGTACTCATGACTCTGGGCTTTGCACTGGAAGGTTGTGGGCTCATGTCCCAGATGGGATGTTGCTGTTGTGCCCTTGAGAAAAGTATTTCACGTGCATTCGTTTCTGTATAAGTAGGTCACCGTGTGGTTGTTGTCATGGTAGAAAAAAGGCATTTAAAACAAGGTTTGCGTCAGTGTCTGCATGGTTTCGTTTGTGACCTTTCAGTCAAAGAGTGTTTTTCTTTCCCTGTAGCCACGGCGCCCCCTCCTGTCCAGGCAGAAGACCCAGAATGAGCCACGCAGTCGACCGGGGGCCCGACTCTCCACAACACGCCGGAGTATACAGCCAAAGACAAAACCACTGGGTAATACCGTGTGTGTATGTGATGAAGGGGTGTTCTGGTGTGCCCCAGACTTCAGACCGAACAACTGAACTCTTTTTCATTTTAGGTTTTAAAGGGGAACTGCAGTCCCAATTTCTCAGACTGGCTATTAGATCTCTGTAACAAAATAAATGAATTGAGGGTATCGCAAAATTCCAAATTAATCACAAAATGGTGAACTATGTGAAAGTACTGTATCAAACGTACATTGTCTCAAATCGCTAGATTCGCCACAGGCAAGAGTGAGAGTTTGCACAAATTGTGACGTGAGGCGGCCCTTCCTGCTCACTAGTCACTGTAGTGACTTATGTAATGCGATGTACGAGCAAATAAGTATAGGTTGTTGCAGCAGACATAGGGCTGCTTCAAACCACCAGAGGTGTTGCTGCCTCGTTCTGAATCACAGACAAAGAAGGCAATATGGCCCTGCACATACCTGGAAATTTCATTCATTTTGGGATGTAAATTGGAAGTTTCATGCATCACTGTGTATACTTTACTTTCATTGTGGCTTAAATCAATGCCAATTCTTTCTAACCCCGAAATATAAAAATAGTGGTGCAGTTCCTCTTTGACTTAATTACACTAGATTCTCTCTTAAAAGGCAATTTGTATTGTAAAATGTATTCTTCACCTCACGAGAGAGCTCGCTGCAATTGTTTTCCTCTTCCCCATAAGCCAAGTCTGATGTATTGACAGTGATGGTGTGCTATAAAAGCAAAGCGCAGGGTGTAAAAAGAGCATAGCTCATGCTGACCTGACTCCTGGCTGTGTGCCACCCTGGTGTCCACAGAGCAGAAAAGGTCAGTGACCTTTACTGAGGCGCAGGCCGGTGTGGCCGTGACGTTGCCCCCGGCTACCAGCAAGGACTGCATCTCCGAGACCAAGAAGCTGAGCCCTGGGGCCAGACCCTCTCCCGCTGCGTCTCCCTCCATCCCTGCAGAGCTGCGCGGTGCCGTGCCAACGCAGGTACTGCCCCTCGCCCTGCGCATCCCCGAATAAACACGGGCGCTCTCTGTGTGCTTAGGAAAACAGATCAGAGGGGTATACTCATCATCCAAAAAATGTGATTGTGATTTAAAAAACACCCCTAATTCTGATCTTTCAAGTGTCCACCAGGCCAATCAATCTGTTAAACAGTTTACAATAATACATTGTGAGAATAGCTGTAATATGAAAAGTTTGTTGTAGCATTTCTGGTTAAAAGTCTAAAAGTTTTCTGCACCTAATGAAATTCTTATTTTCTAACCTACCAAAAAGCTCAATAGATGGCCAACTGTCACAAGCTTTTTGATTAGTTTCATTTCTGCCAGCACAATTGATAATATGAATAAGAATACTAAAGTGTTGTTTTAGAAGAGATATGAAGAACTAATATAAATCGGCAATTGTCAAATTGTCAAGTGGAGACCACAGAGCTCTTCGTGCTTACCAGGTTGCAGGTAGCTTAGTGTCCCAAGAACATCACCTCTATGAGCTGACTGACTGTGTTCCAGGCGGACGCTGCGGACTCTGGGAACAAGGAGAAGAAAGACCTGGGAAGCCATCACAGCAGCATGTCTACACTTCCTCCTCCTCCTCTTCCTCTGCCTTCACCCCAGCGTCCTGTTCTGGGGACCCCACCGCTCCAGGGGCCGCCCCTGCTCACCCCAGAGAGCCCCGAGGATGAGGAGACATCTGTCCTGTTGCAGCACACCGACACCGTGCTGCACATCACTGAGGAGAACGGCACTGAAAATCCCCTCCTCTCCCCACTCGCCCACTCGCCCTGTGACCCCAAGGAGGGCAAGACCAGCCTGGACGAGCCTCACATGTAGAATCCCAGGACAGCCAAGCCAGCACACCATTCTGGAATCAGTCTGACCGGTCAATTGATCGATCGGTCGATCAATTGATCAATTGACCTGTATTTTTTCAGAATAGGCTTCTGAGATTTTCCCACAAATCTGATTTTTATGTCAGCTTTTTGCAGTCCACTGATGGAGAACGGAGCTTTTCCACGCTCTGCACTAAAAGCATTCTTTACCTCCTTCCAACCAAAAAATACAGAATGTAATATTTCACCCTTAAGAAAATGCGGCATAAATACACAAGATATCCTACAAAAAAACAACTGACATAGGGTCAGTTTTTGACAAGCTACTAGGGCCACGAAGCCAGATGTAAACTGCCAGGGCGTTGCTGCTAGGTAAATAAAATGTTTAAAAGTATGTTGTGATAGATTACTAGTGATCCCTTTGTGTCTTGAGTGAACACAATAAGATGCTGTAGTCTGAATACAAGCAAAAGATTACAGAGAAATACTCCAGCTAAATTCTAGGTGAAAAAAAAAATACAAACACAAATACTGTAAATGCTATAGTTAATAACTCTTTAACCAGTTTTTTTGTCGGTAAATGTTAAATATGTCTAAAAGAAGAAAAAATTATATTGAGTCCAGTGATTTAGGTTAAATGTTTTATTCAGCTAGACTTGACATATCTAGACAGACATTGAACAATAGAATATCAATGGATAAAAACAATAAATATTCTCACTTTAGGAGAATATAAACACTTTAGGCAAAGCATTTGTCGATTCTTTTTGTGCAGGTGACCAGCATGGCTTAGATCTCACTGTTTAAGGAGTTTCCAGGCATTTTCTGGATGGATGTAGTTTTCCACTAAATAAGGAATCAATCTCTATCACTCAGATAACTTGAAATTCAAAGAGATTTATTGATATGACTGATGCTAAAATTATGTGTTTCTAAAACAATTAACATGACTTTTACAAACCTTTACAACAAAAACAAAGATCTGAGATTTTTACTCTCTAATCCTCAGTGATCCTCAGCTGCAGCTCTATTAACTTTCCTCCCCCAATAGGATTGTAAGCTGAATCTTGTGAATCTTGCAGGAGTGGGAGATCTGGAATTAGTATTTGTTTTTAGGGAAGAATATTGATCTATTCCTTGAATATTTCCTGCAGTGCAGTAAAAAGGAATTCTCTGTCTCTTCTCCTCCGACTGGCGATGGGAACACAGCCTGTCCTCTCTGGGAAGCCAGGTCTCCCTGTGTTGCCAGGTTGTTGTCATTGAGCCTGTATTTCGTCAGGATCTGCTTTTGCTTGTTGTCTCTCACCCTGGACAGATACTCTGCCAGTGGGTTTTGTCTTTTTCAGTGACAATTTTTGTTGTGTTTGCAGAATCCTTCTGTTAAATGTCTGGGGGGAATTTACTGAATGGGGATTATAATGTGTATTTTTGTATTATTGATAATATTACTCAGTAATTCTGTAAACAGTATATATTCAATCAATATGTATAGTATGGAATTAATACAGATTCTGAGTATGGATAGGAAGATAGAGAGGAATGGTTGAGGTTAAAATAATGAAGCTAAAAAAGGATGACAGTCAGATTATAGATCAGTTTTGTATGAATGTTCTGGGTTTGAAGATGAGATGGGTTAAATTGCTGGGTTAGTGCTGGGAGTTGCCTTCCACAGGAAATAAAATATATAAGTAAGAATTCTAAAGGAGTAGCCAAATGACAGGGAGCAGAGTGATATACAGTATGCAAGTAATAAATCAGGTCTTCACTAGGTGCTGACTCTCATGTATATCTCTATATATTTGGTGTCATGTATTTCCTCAAAAATGAATACATATCATGTAGCTTATTACTTTGTGTTTGGAGAACTTTTTTGCTTTACTCACAGCACTGTTAACTTCAAAGGGATCTACAGCAGAAGAATTTTTATTTTTTGACTGCCTCATGTACGTTAGCGCAAGACGATATTAAGAATTAGATGAACCTATTTAATTCTTTGCGGAAAAAAGTCAAACATTTTCAAATGCCATAGCAAGGAAGTGAAGAAATTGTCTGGAGATGTAAATCGCTCATTCTTTGATAAAGAGAACATCCAGTTCAGGTTTCAGAATTCTCTACTGCAGCCAAAGAGGTTATACTGGAAGAACACTGGGTTGCAAAAGCTAGAAATCCAGGTGAGAGTTTATTGTGAAATCAACTCACTGTGAATATCTTTTTTTTTTAAGTACTGTAATCCTTCTACTTCAGTTGTGTAAAACCTATGTTTTGCCGCACATAAACCATGCCTTAAAACTGACAATTACAAAAATAGTCTTCATCTGATTTGGGGGATTTCTACCCATACATTCCCCAGGTCCCTAAAACCACAAACTTCCCAATAGGTTCCGAGCTCAGAGTGCTTCGCTGCTCCTTGTTTGGTAAGCGAAGATTTGTCGGATTTCCTGCTCATTCGAAAAGTAGCGGAGAAAAGCACTGTGCTGCAAGAATGGTGCCTTGTTCCCTTAGAGAATAAACGAATGGAAAAGAAAGATATTGATAAGAAGATCTTTTTGTTTATTCTATTAAATGTTATGGATACAGTAATAGCAGAGTAGATCTGGTGCCTTAAAATGTAGCACTGCTAAATTGTAATATTTCCCGTAGGTATGACCACGCGTCCCTGCTTTTGTCTGTATCAATGCCTGAATAGACTAAACCGCTTCTCATGCAAATAAATAGAATCCTTATTATTTGTTCTACTGTATGTTGAAAACTCCAAATTGATTACTTTACAGCTGATTGGCCTGTGACTGTCGTGCAGATTAACGTACAAGTGTGTTGTGATGTGTTAATTAATTTGAACTGTGACATGTACATCCTAACTAGATACACTTAAAGCAGCATCTCTATTGTTTCACTGTTGCTATGGCTGATGTAATTTATTGTTCACGAGAAAAACGTTTCTAAACTAAGGTTTACAATTTGGTAGAACCTGTGATGAAAATAAAAACTCAAAGGAGATGCTGTACTAAATCAAACAAATCTGATACATTTCCACAGAAATCTGATCCTAGGCTTTCGAATTCCAGGAAAAAAGTGTTTGAATGTACTGTTTTTTTTTTGCAGTGAGACATTGTGTCATAGAAGATAACTGTATTTCAAGATATAATTTTTTGTAAACGTGTATCATTGGCTCTGTACTGTAGATGTATTGTCTCCTGTGTTAAAGATTTATATATTAAAATATATATGTATGTACACATATATTAAAATAAAAAGGGAATATTGCTTTTTTAAATTTGTTTTGTGTTTTGTTAGAGGTCTCAGATGAAGCAGCCTGGTGCTCGGTCTTACTAAACTCAGTTTAACATTAATAGATAACATTATTTTCAGTTTTCAGTGCAGCCTCACCGTCTCCCATACTATGACCAATCACAGACGACTCTTTACAGAAACCACCCCCCCCCCGCACCTCCCACAGCCCAAATGGGGTGCGGTTTTGCACGAATTTGGGTAGGAGAAATGACGCTGAGGAAACCAGGAAGCCATGTTGGAATTTCACAGTTGCGATCTGTCACGCTCTGAGGAAGGAAAAAGACCAGAGACAGGAAGTGGTGGGGAGCAGATATTGTTGGCAAGATGTCTTATACGGCGAAAATTGGCCCTTCTATTCTCAACAGCGATCTAGCTTGCTTAGGTGCAGAATGTAGCCGAATGATGGACTGTGGCGCGGATTATCTTCACCTCGATGTTATGGACGGGTAAGTATGTGATAAAGCTCAACTTGTTCGTTTTTTAAAAGAGAGGGACGAATGGAGCTGGCCCGCACGAGTTGCAATCGAGTCCTCTAGTTTCAAATCGGCATTTTTAAAATCCCTTGTCTCACTGGTGCACATCGGGGAGATCTGTATAAACGTGAGATTTATCATGTGGTTGGAAAAGCAAGGATATGAACACGCTATCTGTGATAATCGGTTCACCTTTAGAAAGTACAACAAGACTTGTTCAGTTTTGTACATGAGTGGTCGAAATGCAGAATTGAATCGGAATTGAATGAATGAAATGTGCTCTCTTACAAAGCCTTTACAATGAATATTGAAATTAAAGTTCGGGTTATGTGCCCTTATCGTAGATTTTCTTGAAAAGATTTACAGTGCCGAGAAAACGTGTTTGCCCCCTGTCCAATTTCTGCATGTTTCCACATTTTGTACAGTGAATTTGATCAGACCTTTTTGTATTAGTATATAGAAGAGAGTCTGAGAAAAAATGACACATAACTTTTGTGCTAGTAATCCAACATGCAGCCTTGTTATTGCCTCCCTAGTGCATCATACACAATTAAAAGGATAGTTAGGGTCAGCTGTTTGAATACTTTGGTTTACAATCGGGCCTGATTAAGGCCAACCCTGCTCAATATATATATCTGACTGATTTTGGCCCTTACTATCAGCGTGGAGCTGTCAGCACACGGGTTTTAGAGGCACATCATGCCACGATCAAAAGACATTCCTGAAAAGCTCTTGTAAAACATTGGTCAGTCTGCACAGGGTTACAGAGCCATTGCTAAGGCTCTGGGGCTCCACCGAACTACAGTCGGGGCCATAATGTCCAAATGAAGAAAGTTTGGGACAGTAGTGAATCTTCCCAGGGGTGTCCGTCCTGCTAAAATCTCTTCAAAAGCAAGGAGTAAAATTGTCCAGGAAGTTCAACATTTTGGAGTCTGCAGCCCTCTCCTTCCTCGGCTAAGGTATTCATGACGCCACCATCTGAAAGACACTGTGGCAAACCACTGGGGCAAACCACTGGTCACTGAGAAGAGCTTGATGCTCCCTTCAAATTTGGTCAAATGCACCCGGATGATCCTCAAGAGATTTGTCCATAGATATTGTTCCAGAAGAGTCAAAAGTGGAACTTTTTGGCTTTGCACAGGCCCCTTTTGTGTCTGACAATAACCAAACTCTGCATTCCATAGTAAGAACATCATAACAGTCATGGCTGGTGGTAGTGTGATGCTTTAATGCATCAGGACCTGGCCGGCTTGCCATCATTGAAGGAACCATGAATTCTGCTCTGGATCAGAGAATTCTACAGGAGAAGGTCAGCCTAGCTGTCCCTGAGCTGAAGCTCTGCTGGGTCATACAGCAAGACAATGATCCGAAAGACTCAAGCAAGTCCCCATCAGACTGGTTGAAGAACAAGAAACTAAGAGTTTTGGAATGGTCAAGCCACAGTCCTTATCTAAATATTTCTCTTCAGCGCTGTGAGAGACTGATCAATAACTACAGGAAATGTCTGGTTGCAGTTATTGCTGCTAGAGGTGACGTAGGCTGTTATTGAGCAAGGGGGCAATTACTTTTCACATGAGGCATTGGGTGTTGCATAATGTTTATTTAATAGATTAAGTTTAGTGTTATTTGTTCACTCAGGCAACCTTTTATCTGATGTTAGGTTTTTTAGTTCAATATCTGATAGCTTTAAAAATAAAAATAATTAGAATAATGCAGAAAATCAGACAGACAACACTGTGTGTTGGTGAAAAATGAGCAATCTTGGGTTCTTTACAGACATTTTGTCCCAAACATCACCTTTGGCCATCCTGTGGTGGAGTGTTTGAGGAAGAATCTTGGCCCGGAGCCCTTTTTTGGTGGGTAATGCTCATTTTATTTGTGGTGCAGGAGTTCTTCCATACATGACAGCCTCTTGATACAAAAGATATGTTGTACAACTGAGCTTCTCAAACTGTGTAAGAAAATAGCATGCACATGGCTTCAAATATTAGTTTTTAGTGGTATAAGAACTTAAGAATTTGGCCCACCTAGCCCATCCTGTAGGTAATAGACAGAGATCCCTGGATCAGTAAAACTGTATATTGAAAGGCTTTTGGCTTCATCAACATGGCCTGTTCCATTGTCCCACAATCCAGCAAAGGGCTGTAGAAGTGAGGAACAAGGTACCCACCTATGTTGTTGTTGGCTTCCTTCACAAAACAGTGGAATGAAAACATTAGATCTCTATGGTTGGTAATTATGCATATGAAACTGAATTATTTTGTAGGGATTTGCAGGTCATTGTGCATTGTACTGTCTGTCACCCTGCAGTTCTGTCAGTATTGTGTGTCTGTTGTGTTGTCAATGGCTCTATATGTGTGTATGTGGAGCCCTGCTGAATTAACAGTACTGTTAGACTGATGCAGAGATGAGATTTGATTGCTCTTTTATTTAAAGTATTTTAGCTGTTTCTTTTATTTGTCGGTTCACCTCGCTGAGTCAAAAAGACAAAAACCCCCTTCAAAATGTTGTGAACCTTTGTTCCAAAATTATGGGAGAGTCTTTAAGATCCCTTATGTCTTAAATTTAAGATTCACGTCCATCAGATCCAGAGGAAAGCCCATGCCATCATTGAAAACCCATCTCGTATCCTTTATCAGTCCTTTGAACTTCTATAAGTGGACTGGAATTATTATTATAGCACTTTTCGGCACACTCCACTCAAAGCTCTTTACAGATAAAGGAGACGCCCTTCCACCACCACTAGTGTGTAGCCCCCACCTGGATGATGTGACAGCAGCCAAAGTGCACCAGTACACTCCCCACACACCAGCTATCAGTGGGGAGGAAGACAGAGTAATGAAGCCAGTTCAGAGATGGGGAATTATTAGGAGTCATGACTGGTAAATAGTTATTTTAGGTATAAACTATTGCCCTTTTTGTTGATTTATTTTAGTCTTTCTTACTTTTTCATGTTAGAAATGTTGTTAACATGTTTGTTTTTTACCAGTTGTGTTGTGGTTATGTGTTATATTTGCACTGCTTGCTACTTAAATTGCCAACTGGGGAAGAATACAAAATTCTGAACTGAACTGAATTCATGTGCATGTCTGTGTGTCGGATGGTGAGCAGCTTCTCTCTCTCTCAGACATGCACATGATGGTGTCCCGGCCTGAGCAGTGGGTCCAGCCTATGGCTGCCGCGGGGGCTAATCAGTACACCTTCCACCTGGAGGCCACCACCAACCCTGGCGCTCTCATCAAAGACATCCGGCACAGCGGCATGAAGGTCAGAGCCCTGGGCATGATGGGAAGGGAACAGAAAAGGAGGCATGGGGTTACATACTGGGTGTTGTGTTTTCACTGATTGTAATCCTGTGACATCCCTTTAAGTTTGCCATAACCCAATTCTGTTCCATAATTAAAAACACTAATTCTGCTAATTACCTTCTTGTTTTTCACTTCATAGCCGCAGAGTGTTTTGGCTCATCAGTCCCGAACGTAGGGATTAAAGCTGATCATTGTTTCCAGGAGCCCATTTATCTCGTATTTCAAACCTCCAGATTCACGTGGTTGGTTTTTTATCTAAAGTAAATTTTTATTCATTGTTGGTTTATTTTTTGCCAGCTGCTGAATTACAAAAAATATAGAGAAGTAGCTTTTTCAAGAGAATGGAGATGGATGTGGTGTTCAAAGTACACCTTTATTGTTGTTAATAAAACCTTCCCAAACTCAGTTGAGGTGTAGCAACGACTACATGACTGATAATTACCATTTAAAGGGAGGTAGGAAAATGGAGCCCGAGAAATGTGACATAATTATGTTAGAACTTAATCTAATTAGTAAAATGTCATGTCTATATGAAATAAAGGATGAGTTTGACTGGTATTATGTAAAATGTGCATTAGGGAAAATCCTACAATTTATACTTATGCAGGCATTCTGTGCTTTGATTACCATGAAATAAGCTCTTAAAAATTAAGTGCTGAACATTAATCTCTGGTAATGAGGTGAGTTTAAGTATTCTTCAGGAATATAGCAAATACTTAGTATCTGGGGCAAACACTGAAAGGTATTGGAGATCTTTGGTTGTTATGTCTAGGAGTGTAGAAGGGACCAGACAGGAGATAGGGAGAAGGTCTTTCTTTGTATTTTATTAACTGTGATCTAGCCAATTCCTAGTCAGCTTTTAGCTATTGCAAAACCCCAGTGTGGTTTTGCTGTCCAGGTCTTGTTTCGTAACATGTTTGAGTTCCTCTAGAGAGTAACTTGAGCCTTGCGTTCAAAACAAACTGCGTTGACTTCCCCTCTGTTAACCTTTCATCCTCTGTCGACTCAAAAGGTGCAGAGTGGGGGGGAAAAAAAAGCCTTTTTGTCCTGCAGAGACCAGGAGGAGAAGAGGGTTAAATAATGTCAAATGAGTTCAAACGTGTGACAGGTGTGATGTCTCTGTGTATGCTCATGGTGGAGGTGGCTTGTTCCCTGTACCCTACAGGTTGGACTGGGCATCAAGCCTGGCACCTCAGTGGAAGACCTGGCACCCTGGGCGGGCCAGATCGACATGGCGTTGGTGATGACTGTGGAGCCTGGCTTTGGAGGCCAGAAGTTCATGGAAGACATGATGCCCAAGGTGGGGGCAGTAAGACCTCATTCAGTGCCACCTCCACATTGTTGAAACAGCCAGCTGTGTTTAAACTACCCAGAAGCTGCCTTTTCATTATCTCCTTCCCCTGTTTATTATTAACTAGTAGGGCCCTTTGAATCAGGATGAATAAGTGACAAACACACAATGCTGTCTGAAACCCATAGTCTCTTACCATGCATTTACAAAGGTCAGTAAAATTAAATATTTAGTGCATTGCCTTACTGGCTAATAAACTTTCCAGTGTTTACATTACCTTCCCTACCTTTTCCACAGCTTCCCATCCATGCACTCTGCAGCACATCATATCGTACTGTTCACTTTTGAGTAAGAGTCCAGTGGTCTCTACATTGCGGCCAGTTCCCAAAATTGTGCTCTGATTTTAGACTGTTGTCTTTCTCTCAGATCTCTCTGTGTTATTGTGCAGTTCATGTAAGGTTTGGCAGGTTGGTCATTTAATAACGTCATACTAATTACAGCTTTGTTTTCTTTCTTTTTAAACTTTCTCTGCAACAGGGGATTAGATTTTAGGTCCCTACGATAGGAAATAACATACGACAATGGGGGTAGTAACCAGTAAATGCACTGATGCTTTCAATAGGAAATACAAGTAAGAGTTTAATAGAAATGACACTGTTGTTTTCAAAATATTAACTTTTAATTTAGCTTCATGTTTACAAAATATTAATTGAAATGAAAGTATCCTGCTTGTAGTTTTTTTTTCCAAAAGAGACAAAACTCGGTGGGCTTTTCTGAGCAATATTTTAGTGTGTGAGACGGTACACAAAGATGTCACAATGCTTCTGCACAGTCCTTCTGTTTTAAATGCGTGGAAGGATAGACAAAGAGGCCAGAAGGTAAGAAGGCAAGATTTCATTTTCTTGTTATTGTTCTTTTCCAGGTTAACTGGCTGAGGAGTCAGTTTCCCTCCCTGGATATTGAGGTAGATGGAGGAGTGGGACCTGACAGTATTCACAAGTGTGCGGAGGTGAGTCAGAGTGGCAGTAAAGATCAGAGCACTACCAGAAAGGCAGTGCTGGTAGACATAACATTGCATCATTGGACATATCTTGTAGTCCTGACACTTTGCAGTGCACAGCGCAGCAGTACAAGCAATACTGAAGATCGTTGTAGCTTATTAGGTCATTTCAGGCCATTTCGTAGCTTTCTTCTAACATGTGCACGCTTCATCCTTTCTATACACTGCTGTGCAAAGAATTGTTCTTCTGTTTCCTATCAATATTCCTTCATACAGGGTGCAGGAACAATTTTAATGTGATCTTGTACTGAATTAGTATCCATTTAGTTTTAAGATAACCATTAATCCTGAGAGGTCTGTATCATGTTATACATCAAATAGTCTTTCAGCTGTGTGGATGTGTGAAGAAGGATAAAGTATCTTAATCATTAAAACTGATAGTGGGTTCATAAGATGCATTTGGTAAATTTAATGAATTAGCTGGTACAACACTACTTATGAGTTGCTTGTGTGTAGTCTTTCAAGGTTCTTTTCAGTGTGAATTAAAGATTTGCTTTCCTTATTCTCAAACCCATGAATAACAAAGTTGTTATAATACAGCAGTAGAAAACACTAGTGGAGGCTTTATATGATATTGCTCCTAATATACTTTGTAGATGTTTAAGACCTTTTTACAGCAGTGTATATGTTTTCTCACAGAAGAAAGAAGAAATAGAGCAGTAAGTACTGAGAAGGTGGCAGCGCAGTATTGGAAGGTTAATATCCAGCTTCTCTCTCGCGCTGTTCCTCCAGGCTGGGGCGAATATGATCGTGTCTGGTAGCGCCATCATGAAAAGTGACGACCCGCGCTCCGTCATCTCGTTGCTAAGAAACGTGTGCACGGAGGCCATCCAGAAGAGGTCCCTGGACCGGTGAGGCCAGGAGAGAAAAGACACCACAGCGCCTCTTACCTGTCGATGTCACAGATCCGAACGTCACCTATCGTGACCGAGCTTCTCACGGGACCAGGGTCAGGGCCCGGTTTTCCTAAGCTCTGTCTATCACATGACTGTCAAATTCTGCACAGACTGACCCCTGATTGCCGTGTCTTGGGTCACTTTTAATGGCCACCCTCTGGCTCTTCTGACTCAGAAGACACATTGAACGAACTGCATTACCTCAATGAAGCCTTCATCAAATGATACCTTCGGACCATTTCCAGCTGAATGTCTTACACTATGATTATGATTATTTTGAAACAGCTGTGAAATTCTTTCTAGAATTAGAAGAATAAAAAAGAAGTATAATTCATAACCTTTGTTATGGCAAAGTTGTCAGGCAAATGTCGTTTTTTTTTTTTTGCTTTTTGTTTTTCAAAGCATTCTTCCAGGAGCCTAAAAGGGAGAATAAGTTAAGTCTGACTGGAGTAGTCACAGCATGCTCCCGCTGTCCATTCAACAGAAAATCCTCAATGACATTTCCTTTGCTGCTCTTTCATTTAACCAATTAGCAAGCACAGATAAGATAATTAGGCAGCCCGTGTACTGGAATGTCTTTGAAAGCCTCTGTCAAGCTGCCAGGGCTTCACTGAGGCCTTATCACCTTGCCAGCTTCAAATCAAATCAAAATCAAATAAAAGTTTATTTATCAAATGCACAACAATACAGCGTGCAGCAGTAGTTGCTGGCAATGAAATGTCTTTTCTGCGAGCTCACAAGAATCACAAAAATCACAAAATTGAGGTTACGAAAATAAGGTTACATAGTACTAGATGTAATACCAATTGAATAAAACTCAATATGAGTAGAGCTGCCATGTGTCTATGGTGTATGCAATATATACAAGTAGTGCAGTTATGCTGAAGACAGTGAAAACTGTGTGTCCATGTAGCCATTACAGGTGCTTTGCTAAAGGATATGAACTTATTTGCCTTCTTTAGGCTGTATTGTAAAGGACTTGGCCAATTCAGTATTTTAAATTGTATGCATGTGGAAAATAATGATCTGGACTCCCAGAGATTCCTGCTGTGTTTTTTATTGTCCAGCAGGTGGAGACAGCCGATCATCAGAACATAAGAGAAGTTTGAAATAGAAGGCAGTTTAGCCTATCAAGCCCTTTTGTTTGTTAGTTGTTAATTCATCATCCAGGTGGATGCTGCACAATGGCGGTGGTGGAGGGGAGACCCCATTACCTGTAAAGCGCTTTGAGTGGAGTGTCCAGAAAAGCGCTATATAAATGTAAGAAATTATTATTATTATTATTAATTGTTGCAGAGGATCTCATCCAGTCTTTTCTAGAAAGAATCTAGGGTATAACTTCAGAAGCATGGCTGGATTGCTTGTTCCACACTCCCTATTGTGTAATCATATTGTGTAAAGATGTTTTTTTATCTCGGTTTTAAGTGCACTTTCCCTTTATTTAATTGATTTTCAAAGAAGTCCGTTTAAGTGCTCTTAAAGATTCAGAATATATCAACTGATTACATCCACAGTCCACTGTGTTACATTCCTTTAAATCTATTAATTTATCTGGTTGTTCTACTCTCAAAGACTTTTATAGTAGCCCGATTACAAAATAAATACTATAAAAATTGCATACAATATTATTTAAATTAGGTCAAAATAGTACATTGTACGAGGTGTTTTAATATTGCATTTCTATTGCTTTTTATTGTTTCCCTGCATTGTTTTGAACACATAAATGATGCTAGCATAAATACTAGACTCATTTTCTTATAACTTAAAGCTCTATTTCCCAATTTACATTATATTGAGATTGAGGTAGTACCTATATTTATCTAAACTATCATTCACTATGTATTTGCCCAGTCTCATCATTTTGAATCAAATTTCTACAGTGTTTGCTAATCTACCTGTTATGTCATCTGTGACTTTAACTAGTTTGCTGTATGTACCAACATCTAGATTATTAATATAAATCTGCAGGTTAATGGTCTAAGTTCAGATCCCCATGGTACTACGCTAATTATATCTCCAATACCGGACCTTATTTGTACAGTTTCTTGACTTTCAGTCAAATTACATTTATAAAGATGAAAGCCTAATGACTTAATTTAAATGCTTAATCTTTTTGATTTTTAAAATTGGTGCTCTTATTTGGTATTTGTTGTTAAAATCCCTATTAATTCTTCCCACTCTATGTGAGGAAAATGTAATCTCCTTATTCTTATAATCACTTCTTCCTGCACATTTCCTGATTTTACTATATACGACTGCATTATAATTGCAGTATATGTCTCCCAGATTGTTCATTTTATTACCTGAAGATTGAAAGGTACATCATTAGCAGTTTGTATGTGAAGGACATTTAGCACATGGCTGGTTAGAATTTAGTCAACGCAATTTGCGGATGTCACCTGCACTCTTGATAATTCAGCATCCAGAGGTTATGCCGTCGTCAGCAAATGTTCCCCTAAAATGAAAACTTTACCTGTTAGTGCTATTTTTTTCACAACTGACAAATCAAGACACCTACTTCCTGGGTGACCTCTTAACATTTAAGAAAAACAGGGGAAGATAGTCTTTCATTTGCAAAAGCATCCTCTTCCTATTTTTCCAACTTTTAAATAACCAGTCAAATTTGTCGAAAAACAAACATGTATTATGGAAAGAAAATATTAATTCTTTTGCTGGATTTACACATTTTAAATTTGGTGGTGTGCTTGAAAAAACCTTTTTTAATGAAACACAAATCTAAAACTAAAACATTATCTGGGTTTTTATTTTAAGGAGTATGAAAAACCCACACTCAAAATGTTATGGAGCAGATGCTTTTGTCCAGAATAAATTAGAGAGATTAGGGGATGCATAACTAGCTGCCGCTGTAGAGGTAGTTACTACAGCACTTCTTCTCTGCCTCCAATCCAAAGTATGGTGTGTAGGGAGGTTAAAAACTGAAGTTGGCACCAGTGACAGGGTTTGGAGCATAAACCTTGTGATAAGCTTGTTTCTTTATAACTGCCCCACCTAGCCTAGCCTTCCACAGTTAAAGGCACTGAGTGAGGAATTTGGGAATATGTAGCCTTTGTCCTACAAATTAAGTGCTACATAAATCAGAAAAGTCTGTCGAACAGTATATTGAAACAGCTGTTAGAAATGAATGCAGGATCATATTTTTAAAAGGACTAGTACTTCTGTGACAGGCACAAGGCATAAGATACACAATGAGTCCAGTGCCATAGTAATAATGTAACAGCTGCTGAAACGCACTGAGGGAATCCTTCCTGGTTCCACGGTGTAAGTTTCCCTGTGAGAACCTATGCACCTGCTTTCAGGAGCTGGTCTGTGGAAGTCAAAGGTGAGAGTGGGCAGGGTGTGTGTGTTGGCTCTGGAGACCTGCAAGCTGCCTATCTTTCTGCGGAGGGAGCCTGTGCTACACAGTAGCAGGGAAAAGATGGCTGCTTTGTGCTGCTCTTATCTGTTGGGCTTTGGGGCGTCCCAAGTCAGGTCTGGAATTTACACGTAATGCACTTCAAAACCCAAGGTTTAACTCAACACGAAGTATGAAACCTAATTTCAGATTTACTGATCTTAGGGCTTCTACGTCATCACTGTAGCCCATCATACGATATCAACCTAATATAAAGTTGATCTTATGTCTTGAGCCCTTCTATGCTTTCGGTCATTATTTTATTGGTTTGAAAGTTTTTTCCTAGATGATTCAGAATAGGAGAATTAGGGATAAACTGGTTATTCAAATAGTTCTGTGCAACATTAATAAGCACAAGAGAGAGAATGTGATTAGTTATAAACACTTTTCATGCGTTGTGTGGCTTTGTGGATTATTTGTCTTCTTGCATGTGTTTGCAGTTCCAGCTCCAGTCTCTGAGCTTGGTATTTACGTATTAGATGATAAACCCATCCTTACAATTAGCATGTCACCATATGTACTAGCTTGCTTTACTCGTGCACTCAGAGGCATGTGCATATGGCGTCTTGCTAATTAAATTTCCTTTACTTGTTAAAATGCCTCCTGCAATGAATGCCAATTAAAGCAAACCGTGCAGGCATTGTATACATGGAAAGGGAGGCACTTTCTCTAGTGAAGATGAAAGCCTCTGCCCTTGACAGTACCCAGGATTGTAACAGGTTTTGTCTGAACAGGCTTTCAAACAGCATTAGCTAAATGTTAAAGTTTAAAAATGGCAATGGATGGAGAAAGCAGTATAGAGACCTGGAAAGGGCTGCTTGAGAATGGTTGTCAAGGAAACAAGGCCCTGTGAAGCACCGAAGTGTGTACACGGATTTTATTCTGACACTAATTGCCCCTCTATTGGTCTTGGCTCAGGCATTGGTATTTGTGGGGTTTTTTTGTCAACACGTAAAAATAACATCCTGTGATGAGCAAGTGATACGGAGAAGGCCTGATCGGACCACCAACGGGTCCTCATAATGAGGCTGCAGCCAAGTGCTGGGGCCAGAAAAGCCTCAGTCAGCACTTGCAGGTTTGCTGTATTTTAAGATATAAGAGCCCGCTGGCAGCTGCATAGTGCAAGATGTCCAGCACTTCCTCTTTAAAGAGATGCATAGTAGGAGCCTGACTTTCAGATCATTGCGAAGACTAACGCCTTTAAGCAATTTTTGTTGTCAGGAAAGAAAAGATGAAGAAAACATGTGAACTGGAGATAGAAGTGAAAAGGCAGACTGGCTGCTAAGAATTGACATAACCGGCGCTGGACTGAAGCTGATATTGTTTCATTTACAAAATAAAATGTTCCCAGGTCACAAACCCTGTCACCAGTTAACAGTCAATGTGCTATTGAGACATCCTTGCTGATTTCCTAGTGCGAATCAGTTGCTCATTTCCAGATGACCTTAAATGCCTTATTGTTTATCAGCTTGGACAGGCGCCTTGGTTATTAACTTAGTTCTCTGTAGAGTTCTGGACTATGGCACCGACAAAATATCCAACAACTGGCAACACTACCATCCTTTTCCAGACCCCATCATGCATCCTACTTCCTGAAGTTCCACCTGCTGGTGAACAGGCCTTTAGCAACAGAACCACTGACACCAGAGACTTTTTGAAGCCACAAGTATAGTGTGATGCATCCAGATTCCACCAGTTCTGAGCTGTGCTATGCTCAGCTTGACCAGTAGTCCACTCTGTAATGTGCTCTGGAATCATGTGAACTTGGACTTGTAGCCCATCACTCACATATCATCCCAGTAGATTCATTTTATTCATTTTGTCTTTGCAGACATGATCCTGAGATTTGTCCTTTAAGCCCACTAATTGAAGGATATTTGAAGCTGTAATCGGATCCTTCATGTATTTAAAGCAGAGAGATAATCAGAAACAAGAAATCCGATCCTGGGCAGAA